AGAGATGTTACAAGCAAGCTGGCCTCAGGAAATTTCTAACAGTTTCCAAAGAGTTTCTACAGAAGTCACTACAACTAAAATACTTTCAAAATCCTGATGAGCCCTCAAGCCCAAGACAGCAAAAAGGGATATTGATTATTGCAATTATTACTGACTGCAAGAAGACTATATGCCAAGCAATGCAATGTCTCACTTAATCCTCAAAACATATCTGAAAAGTGGGTCTCGCTATCCCTGTTGTGCAGACGAAGAAACCCAGACACAAAGAGCTTAAGTCAACAGTCCAAGACTGAAGAGCCGGCACATAGTAGAGGTGAGATTTGTACCTGCAAGGTATAGAATCACCTTGCAATTTGGCCTTTGTTCTGGGTTCTTGAGTGCCAGACCACACCTGAGGCTAATGAGTGGGGCCTGATCAGACCAAGAGGGACCACCTTGGGGTCTGATGTTGACTGAGCCTCAGGAGGCATGATACAATCTATCATGGCCCCTGGGGGAGGCTGTTAAGGGTCCTGAACTGGAAGGCTCAGATGAGCTTCCTGGTTGGTGACCATGCATGGGAGAGGGTAACACGTTCCTTTTCGGGACAGAAGCTTCACTCTGTGACCCCCCTCCAAGACCTCACCTTATGTGTCTCTTCATTTGTATCCTCTTTGGTTGTAGTAAATCTGTAGTTGCAAGTATGGTATACTCACCATGAGATTCTTTGAACCGTTCTAGCAAATTAACAAACTCAAAGGGGCAGCAAGAACCAGCAGGGGCTGGCATCTGCCTATTTGAAAGACAGTGTCTAACTTGTGGGCTCTGATCTAGTTCCAGGTGGCTAGGTATCAGAGAAGGGCTGTGTCGGCAGCTGATCTGAAGGATGGTATCCATCTAACTTGTGAGCCGTGACCCACCTCTGGGTGGATAGGATCGAAGAGAGTGTGCCACTTGGGTGGCTGGCAGGCAATGAGGATAGAGAAGTGGGAAAGAGAGGACCGGATCCATTTCCACACTTTGGGGGTTGGATTCTTACTGATCCTTACCACACAGTTAGCAGCAAAGGTGGGATTTGCTCACTTTGACCTTTGCTTAGTGCAATACCCAACTCTTGATTCCAGAGCCAGGGCGTCTACATCCTGTTGCTAGACAAATGCACCTGACATTTTACATAAAATCTCAGAAACACTGACATCCCGAGGTCCATTCATAGACCCCCCACTACTGCTCTTCTATCATGCAATGCTGGTGGGAGTGCAAAATGGTATGGTGGGAATCTGGCAGACTCTAGAACAATGACGTATGCGTCTTCCCCGTGACCCAGCAATCTCACTCTGGAATCCTAGCTCAGAGATACACCTGTCAAAATATGAAATGATGTATGCACGAGGTTATTTTGCATCACTGTTTAGAATAGCCAGACTGGAAAAGCATCCAATTATTCATCAACAGAGACTGAGGACACACAGCTACAGGATAAGTTACTACGCAGACGTAAACCATGAGGAAGGTCTCTACAACAGGGAGGGGCTGCCAGGACTTATGAGGGCATTAATAAAGCAAGGTCCAGAAAGCATATATAGCATGCTATCCTTTGTGTTAGCAACAGCAGCGGGGAAAGGAATGCATATGTGCGTAAAAATTAAAAACTCTACAAACTGAAAACAAACTGGCACAAATGAATCTAATTTGCCATAAGGTTGGCATTGGTGCCCTAACCACACAGAGAAAAGATTACAGCTGACTTTGGAACACAGTATCTTCACTGCACTTCTGTAAAGACAGAAGGAACTGCAAAGATACCGCAGCTTCATTTGAAGTGGAGTAACATGAAAGAGGAAAGGGCTCCTGCTGTTGCTCCTCAAAGATCAAAATACATGGGAGGGGGCAGTAGTACCTAAGGGGGTGGGGGAGACTAACAGTAGGGCCGGGTCTACAGTCTGCTGCATCCCATCAGTGGGACTTTGGCGAGGCTCGTCACCTCACTTGGCATCGGTTTCCTATCCAAGAAACGGAGATAATACCCATCTCACAGGGTTGTTTAAAGGAATGCTATTTTTCATATACACCAGTAGGCAGCATCTTGGATCACCAGAAGAAAGCCTCTTCCCACAGAAACAGCGGCCTCAAGCCTGGAGAAGGTGCCACAAGAGGCAGACTGAGATGCCTCGCCCAAACCTAGAAGACAGATCCAGGTAGGGCTGCCTGATTAAGCAAATAAAAATACAGGCCACCCAGTGAAATTTGAATGTCAGCTAAACACCGAAAAATTTTGTATTACACTATACGCATTTCTGTCCAGTCGAATTCCGACTCATAGCGACCCTATAGGACAGCGAAGAATTGCCCCATTGGGTTTCCAAGGAGTGGCTGGGGGAATCGAACTGCTGACCTTTGTGGTTAGCAGCAGAGATGTTAATCACTGCGCCACCACGGTACTTAAAAGTTTTTCGTTGTCTAGCTGAAATTCACATTTAATTGGGCGTCCAGTATTTTATATGGCAACTCTCCACCCAACGCACGCTCCCCGAGGACGAGGAAGAAGAGGAGGACGAAGAGCAGCCAGCAGACGGGGCCCTAGGCGCGGAACTAACCGTCACTCGGCCTTCGGGCGTCCCCTTAGTCCTACGTGGCCCGCAAGGTCTAACTGTCAGAACCGCCTCTGACCTCCGCGACCCAGCGAAGCGAGACGAACCTTTCTCGGACCACTGCGCCTGCGTTGTCGGTGCGCACACCTCACGCACGCGCCGAACTTCTGCCCGGGAGCCGCGTCCCGTCGCTAGGCAACAAGCTCGCGAGCCTCAGCAACCGGAGGGAGCGCGCCACAGAGAGGAGGGGCGCACTGGTGGGTGAGCCGAGGGCGCGCGCGAGGGGGCAGGGGGCTGGCGCGTGAGTTGGAGGGGGCGCGCGGGTGGGTGACACAGGACGCGCGCGAGGGGGCGAGGAGCGCGCCAAAAAGAGGAGGAGGTGCGCGCGCGCGCGCGCGGGGAGGGAGCCTAAGGGATGCGGGGTAGAGGCTGTGAGGAGCGGCGGAAGAGGAGGGGGACTGAGCCGAAAGGCACTGGGAGAGGAAGGGATGGCAGGCTCTGGGAGAAGCAGGGAAAGGCTACTTGCTTAGAACAGGTGCTTTCTCCAGGTGGTCAACTCCATGGCAACTGGTTTGGTTTTATGTGCTAGTCACCACGAGTCTTAGTCATCTAGTGCTGCTATAACAGAAATACCACAAGTGGATGGCTTTAACAAAGAGAAATTTATTCTCTCACAGTCCAGTAGGCTATAAGTCCAAATTCAGTGTGTCAGCTCCAGGGGAAGGCTTTCTCTGTCAGCTCTGGAGGAAAGTCCTTGTTGTCAATCCTCCCCTGGACTAGGAGCTTCTCTGCACAGGAACCCCAGGTCCAAAGGACATGCTCTGCTCCCGGCTCTGCTTTCTTGGTGGTATGAGGTTCCCATATTGTTCTGCTTGCTTCTCTCTTGTATATCTCAAAAGAGATTGGTTTAAGACACTGTCTAATCTTGTAGATTTCATCAGTATTACTGCCACTAATCCATTTTATCATATCATAGTTATAGGATTTACCATACATAGGGAAATCAGCTCAATACAAAACAGTAGACAGTCATACAATACTGGGAATCATGACCTAGCCAAGTTGACAGATATTTTGGGGGAACATAGTTCAATCCATGGCACCACAGTTAGGGCGAGTCACCATAGTTAGATTAGGTTACATGTATTATCTCTTTTGATCCTCTCTGTTTTTGAGGTACCTTTGTTATTTCTCTTCTACAGATGAGGAAACAGAAGCTCAGAGAAACTGAGTGACTTGCTGACGATTACACAAGAACCAGGACTGGCTGTTGGTCTGTCTGGTTCCAGAGCCTGTGTTCATACCGCCCTGTACACTGCCACTTAAACGGATGGTGTGATGCTTCGAACCTGTTCGTTGGAACCCCTGCTGGGAATTTGCAGTTCTTACAAGTTCCCAGGTGATGCTAATGCTGCTGGTTAGGGACCAGTTCTGAGAACCACTAGTAGAGCAGTGGTTCTCAAATGTTATTATACATAAGAATCACCTGGGGATCTTGTTAAACTGTAGATTCTGGTTCAGTATATCTGCAGTGGAAATGCAAATCCTCAGCAGTGAGTCCGCACTGTGAATGAACTGGTTCAAAGCTCTGAGTGTGACTCAGGCTACATTACCTCCAGCTATTGAAAACTGATTAATAGTAACTCAAGGGGCATCGATGGAGGTAGTTTCTTAAGTAGTAGAAAGTGGAGTATAGTATTAGGTGTTGCAGCGCCCTTGACCAGCAGTAGCTGCAGGGCCTGGTACCTTCCCTCCCTTTCCTGCCCAGGGCTTCTGGTGAAATACATAAGCCTTTGTATCTATGTCATAGGAACCCTGGTGGTGCAATGGTTAAAGCACTCGGCTGCTAGCCAAACGGTCGGCGGTTTGAACCCACCAGCTTCTCTGTGGGAGAAAGATGTGACCGTCTGCTTCTGTAAAGATTTACAGCCTTGGAAACCCTATTGGGCAGTTTACTCTGTCCTGTAGGGTTACTATGAGTCAGAATCGACTCAAAGGCAGTGGGTTTGGGTTTGAATCTATGTCACAGATGACTGTGAGTTCCTACTTCACAATACCACAGCTTGTTGGGTGCTCAGAGCTCCTCCTGGGACCTTCTGCTTGCTCAGTTATGTCCTCCCTTCCTTAGGATGGAAATGTATGAGTGGAGGCCTGTAGCCACCCCTAACCATCAGTGCATATCCTCTCAGGCCTGATGACCCCCAAAACCTTTTGTCTGGCTTAGGACAGCTGGAGAGCTTTAGAAAAAAGCTTACTTGAATATAAGAGCTACTGGCAAGTCTGCCTTTGTTGGTTCTTCTGGGGTAGGGTGGGATTCAGAAACATAGCCTGAAATGAATCTGAGTTGGTTAGAATGTGTCCATTTCTTAAATCAGATTGGATTTCTAAAGTTGTGAGGCTCTGCGTGGATTTTTTCCCAGGCCCCCCAGGATGGAAACAGAGTACCTGAAGAGATGCTTTGGAAACTGCCTGGCCCAGGCACTGGCGGAGGTGGCCAAAGTTCGGCCCAGTGACCCAATAGAGTACCTGGCTCACTGGCTTTGTCATTATCGGAAAACCATGAAGGCAAAAGAAGAGGTGTGTATGTGTACCAGTTCTGCCCGGGGTGGGGGTTGGGTGGGGGGGCTTCCAGCTTTCCCTAGAGTAATGCTGGAGCTGGCCTGGGAGCTTCTTGGTTTGGGCCCAGATATCCCTGAAGTGTGGGCAGTCTGGGGGCTGCAGAGGGAATCCAACACAAAGGATGCAGTGGAGTTGATGGCTTTAGAGCTACTAGCAGAATAAGGCTAGTTACAGGAGCAAGCTGGGCAGGTGTGAAGGGCTGGGTCTATCAGCAGGGAGGGCAGGCTCTTTTGTACATGCCACCGGGGTGCCGAACTGATTCAACTGTATCACATCACCTAGAACATGCAACAGGAGACCCAGCTGAAGGAGGAATATGACAGGAGCCTCAAGGAAGCAGAAATGGCAGAAATGCTGAAGCAAGAGGAGTATCAAATTCAACAGAAGTGTGAAATGGGTCACAAGGTAGGAAGAAGGAAATGAGCCCTGGGCACGCATATCACAAAGACAGAGACCAGGAAATCGGCAGGTCGGCTGCCACAGTGCAGTGCGCATGAGACTCCCAGTAGCCTGCGTTTTCCTCCATACTCGCACACTTACATATAAATCAATCTGACTGACAATCCCTGTGTATGAAAAAGAAATTTTAAAGGGCAATTCCATTTCAGATTTCGGGAAATACCATTGATGTTACCAGTTTAAAAAATTAGATTTTTAAGAAGTCTGATACTTCACCTGGAAAATATATTTTCATACAAGATACTTTGAGTTCTTTTAAAAAATTGTTTGATATTTTTTTCAGAAACCAGATATGGTTATCAGTGTATACTTCAGGTATATTGTAATATTTCATAGAAACTATTTACATATGTATTTTGTTTATTATGTACTGCTAACTTTTGCACCAAGCCACAGATGCCTCCTCTATGAAGCTGTAATGTTGCTGTGGTTAGTTGCTGTCAAATCAACTCTGACTCATGTCGAAGCTGTAAGAACGGACATAAATTATTAACTTGAAATAATTGGAAATAACTGTAGACTAGCATATCTTTTATCTTCCACGGTTTTATGACACAATCTCCTGAACGATGTCTTGGGCCATTTTATGCATTCTACAGAGCACAGTGATACCTGAATAGGGAATTGACTTAATTGCAATTCTGGACTTGATACCTGAGATCATTTTAACTATTCACTATGTCCTGTGAACTGAAATCTTTAATGCAGTCTGTACAATTCACTAGCTTTTGCATAAGCAATGCTAGTTGTATAGGATTTCCAAACCCAACTTTTTTTTTCCATTTTTATTTATTTGTATTGTACTTCAGGTGAAGGTTTACAGAACAAATAGTTTCTCATTAAACAGTCAGTACACGTATTGTTTTATGACATTGGTTAACAACCCCACAACATGTCAACCCTCTCCTTTCTTGACCTTCTTTTTTTTTTTTTTGTGAAAATAGATACACCATTTCAAAAATTTCTACATGCACAGTTCAGTGACATCGATTACGTTCTTCCAGTTGTGCTGCTGTTCTCACTTTAGATGAAGGTTTACAGAACAAAATAATTTTTCATTAAACAGTTAGTACACATGTTGCCCTACAACAGTGGTTAACAACCCCACTACATGTCAGCGCTGTCCTTACTCAACCTTGGGTTCCCTATCACCAGCTTTCCTGTCCCCTTCTGCCTTCAAGTCCTTGTCCCTAGACTGCCGTGCCTCATTAGTCTCGTTTTGTTTAATGGGGCTGTCCAATCCCCGGCTGAACGGTGAAACTCAGTAGTGACTTCATTAATGAGCTAAAAGGGTGTCTGGGGGCCATACTCTCGGGGTTTCTCCAGTCTCTTTTAGGCCAGTAAATCTAGTCTTTTTTTGTGTGTGTGTTAGAATTTTGTTCTACGTCCTTCTCCAGCTCTGTCCAGAACCCTCTGTTGTGATCCCTGTCAGAGCAGTCAGTGGTGGTAGCCGGGCACCATTTAGTTGTACTGGATTCAGTCTGGTGGAGGCCGTGGTAGTTGTGGTCCATTAGTCCTTTCGACTAATCTTTTCCTTGTATCCTATTCTCTTCATTCTGCCTTGCTCCCGAAGGGGTGAGACCAGTGGAATATCTTAGATGACTGCTCACAGGCTTTTAAGACCCCAGAAGCTACTCACCAAGGTAGAATGTAGAACATTGTCTTTATAAACTGTGTTATGCGAATTAAACTAGGTGTTCCCCGAGACCAGGGTCCCACAGCCCTCCGCCCAGCAATTCAGTCCCTCAGGGAGTTTGGATGTGTCTGTGGAGCTTCCATGACCTTTCCTTGTACAAGTTGTGCTGGTTTCCCCAGTAATGTGTACCATCTCACCCTTCACCAAAGATACCACTTACCTATTGTCTATTTAGTATTTCCCCCTCTCACTCCTCCCATCCCTCATAACCAACAAAGATTGTTTCTTTTTATGTGTAAACTTTTACATGAGTTTTTACAGTAGAGGTCTCACACAATATTTGTCCTTTTGTAATTGACTTATTTCACTCAGCATAATGTCCTCCAGTTTCATGCATGTTATGAGATGCTTCACAGGTTCATCATTGTTCTTTATCGTTGCGTAGTACTCCATTGTGTGTATGTACCATAGTTTGTTTATCCATTCATCTGTTGATGGGCATCTAGGTTGTTTCCATCATTTTGCTATTGTGAACAATGCTGCAATGAACCTGGGTGTGCATATGTCTATTCGAGTGACGACTCTTATTTCTCTAGGATATATTCCTAGCAGTGGGATTGCTGGATCGTATTGTATTTCTATTTCTAGCTTTCTAAGGAAGCGCCGTATCATTTTCCGAAATGTTGTATCATTTTGCATTCCCACCAACAGTGCGTAAGAGTTCCAATCTCCCTGCAGCCTCTCCAGCATTTGTTATTTTCAGTGCTTTTGATTTGTGCCAGTAATGCTGCCAAACCCAACTTTTTTTAAGACATGAAAATGTTATAAGCTTCTGTACGTTTGTACTAATATGCTCAGCTTTCCTCATAAACAATTGAGATTTATTTTTAAAGTCTAGATGTTTTGTAAATATATTAAATCAAAGCAAAGATGGTTTCACACCATTATTTGACATAGTCCAAGGGCACTCTCCCTCTGGAATGAGATAGTCTTTGAACAATAGTTGGAGGATGGGAGAGGTGAGGTCATTTAATAAAAGTTGTCCTCACCTTGCCACCCACTCTAACCCTTTTCTAACACCATGCTTCACTGTTAACAGAAATATATGTAAAGCAGGGAGAGACCCCCAAAATGAAACCACCATCCTCACTTTATGGTGCCTTTACTAAAGAATACTTTGCTCGTGCCAATATTTTGAATTGTCCCTTTATATTACACTCAGGAGGTTTAAACCCTGTAGCAATATTCCTTAATAAGATCTGGATGAGTAAAAGGCATGTCATTCCTCTGCCAGGTGTGAGACAAAAGTAATCATAAGGGACAATGGGAAATGAGAAGCTAGCATGATGCCTGGACCAAGTGCAAGTTCTCAGTGTTAGAGAAGAGTTTATATGCAAGTTGTAGTTATGGAAACTGATTGCCTTTGTTAGAAGAAAATAAAGAGAACCAAATGGGAATCTAAAACAAAGTGAATTTACCTGGCAAGGGAGAGCCATGACATTCAGGTACAAGTTACTCTCCAAGTGAAAGATGAAAGGCTAGATGAAAGCAAACAGGTGGTTGTTATGTTGTTGTTAGGTGCCGGTCAGAACTGAGTTGGTTCTGACTCATAGCGACCCTGTGTGCAACAGAACAAAACATTGCCCTGTCCTTTGCCATCCTCACAATCCTTGCTATGTTTGAGCCCATTGTTGTAGCCACTGCGTCAGTCCATCTCATTGAGGGTCTTCCTCTTTTTCATTGACCCTCTACTTTACCAAGCATGATGTCCTTCTCCAATGACTGACCCCTCCTGATAACATGTCCAAAGTACGTGAAACGAAGTCTTGACATCCTCATTTCTAAGGAGCATTCTGGCTGTACTTCTGCCAAGACAGATTTGTTTGTTCTTCTGGCAGTCCACAGTATTCAATATTCTTCACCAACACCATAATCCAAAGGCATCAATTCTTCTTTGGTCTTCCTTATTCATTGTCCAGCTTCGAAAGGATACGAGGCGATTGAAAATACCATGGCTTGGGTCAGGTGCACCTTAGGCCTCAAAGTGACATCTTCACTTTTTAACGCTTTAAAGAGGTATTTTGCAGCAGTTTTGCCCAATGCAATACATTGTTTATCAGAAAATGTTCTGCTGCTATTCGTAAGGTTTTCACTGGCCAGTTATTTTAGAAGTAAATCACTAGTACTTCTTCCTAGTCTTTCTTAGTCTGGAAGCTTCACCGAAATCTGTCCACCATGGGTGACCCTGTTGATATTTGAAATACTGGTGGCATAGCTTCCAGCATCACGGCAACATGCAAGCTGCCACAGTACGATAAACTGACAGACAAGTGGTAGAAAGAGGTGGAGGTACATCAAATAAGACGAGATTCTAAATTTTGATTTCTGGTTGGCCCATGAGGTGGATTGAAAACATTTCCTTGCTATTGGTCACCTTCGGATTTGGTGTCACTGGTGCTGGGAAGCCTGGGAACCCAGCCTGGGTTGGATAAGATTTCAACATGCCTGTTGGTTTAGCTAATGGGCTTATATACCATATTTTTACGCTAATGGGCTTATATACCATATTTTTATGCTAATGGGCTTGTATACTATATTTTTACACAAATAATGTAAGCTATCTATATTTGTTTGCCAACCGCTCCCTCCCCCGTGAAGTATTTTCATAAGCACCACAATGCCAATTATTTTTACATGTTGTTATAAAAAAGTTAGCACAGCATGCTTACAGAAGTACCTTGTGGGGGGAGGGAGCAGTTGGGAAACAAACATAGAAGGTGCATGTTATTTGTGTAAGAATAAGGTATACAAAGCAGAAGCTTGGCAAGATTTTTTCTTAATATACCTGTATTAAAGCTATCTTTGCCCGAGGAGCCCCAGTGGTGAAGTGGTTAAGTGCTGTGCTGCTAACTGAAAAGTTGGCAGTTTGAACCTACCAGTCACTCTGCAGGAGAAAGATGTGGCAGTCTACTTCCATAAAATTTACAGCATTGTAAACCCTGTGAGACAGTTCTACTTTGTTCGGTAGGGTCACTATGAGTTGGAATTGATTCCACAGCAGTGGGTATATGTGGTGTATCTTTACTTGCATATACCTTGGAGTTCCTGGATGGTGCAAATGGTTAACACACTCTGAATTAGCAGCCGAAAGATTGAAAGTTCAAGAGGTATCTCAGAAGAAAGGCCTGGTGATCTGCTTCCAAAAAATCATCCATTGAAAACCCTGTAGAAAACAAGTCTCAACAAATTTTAAAAGATTGAAATTATACAAAGTATCTTCTCTGACCACAAAGGAATAATATTATAAATT